ACGACTAAAAGGTTTGTACCTGATGATGACAAAACCTTGTCGAAACTATTGTACATTTCTAGTTATAGTAACTTATATTAAAGTTTCTTCATTACCCATTCAAGCAGTCTCCAGCCATTATTCAAACAGCTTTTTTTTACTCAAATATAATGGTAAATCTCTGAAACAAACAGATACAGTTTTACAAAGAAAGAACAAAGGGAACACAGTACTATGCCATTAACCGTTACGCATACCGTAACCAAGAGTCGAAGGTGAAAGGTGTTACATTCCACAAGTAAGTAAAACCTTTTTTTCTATAATATATTAAGTTACATGGGCAATATCGTCGTGGACATGGTGACGACATCGGACTGGCGTGAATGTCTACATCTAGTTTCAAAGTATGTATGTGAGTTTTTTTTTTTGGAAGGCATTTCACCTACACAAGTCGGCATGACAGTTTGACAGCTTTTGATTTGAAATGCCTTAATATTAAGTACTCATATAAGTTGAAATAATCATCGCTTGCTGTCCAGTCAGGCTATACAGAGACGCCGCCAAAACATACCCTGTTTACAGATACAAGTTCTGTATACATTCACTTTTGATGCTATCACTGAGTGTCAAGGTAGAAGTTTATTAAATATGTCACTTCGCTTAATGGATGAAAGAGGAAAATTGGATTAATTTGTATGGCTTAAGACAAGTCTAGTCTGATCAGTGACGTTATGGCTTATCCAGGTGGCCCCTTCCAGTCCAAAATCCTTGAGCTGTCAGTGTCATAATGATAAATAATCAGTATACAGTAAATTTGACCCAAAATATTTTGTGCTGCTTGAACAAAAACTGTTATATATATAGAAGAGTGCTTATAACAGAGTGAGCCTAGTTTTATTACAATATATATGTATATACCTTTCTATACTGGAGCAAACAAGTCATGGATGTTGAAGCCTTTATCTGCCATCAGGATATAGCCTTTGTTGCTCAGGTTCACTAGACTCCTTTGTTCGATCACCAATTTATCCAGCATATGCATCAGGGACATGTGTGACTAATCCTTCTGGACTAGCTTCCACAACAACTTTCGCGCTGTTTCTCTTTTTGTAGACAGAGAAGGTGACTTGTTGAGTGTGGCAACATTTGGGTTTTTGTACAGGGTATTCCATTTCATCGAGATTGATTCTTGTTGTAGAAAGCTTTTTTCTAAATTCCTCAGGCATGAAGTATGACACAAATAGCCAAATATCTAGTTCTTTTTATCGGTGGTAAATAAAATTTACCAATGTGATGGAAATATTAGCAGCTGAAAACTCTGAAATGTCAAACATCAATGTCAGGTCAGAATTGGATTTATTGTTCCATAACTTCATTATTGTCAAAAAATAATTGGTTTTTTACAGACATTAGTTGACAATTACACCATCGGTAGTTCAAATGGTAGGCTGGTTTCAGCAGTCTCCTTTGGGGGAAGTTTCCAAAAACAAAAAACAAAAAAAAATGTTTTTACTTGTGTAATATATTACTGTCAATCATTTCCAGGCCTACTATAGATTTTAATATAAAAGACAAGAATTATTGAAATATTAGTCTCTATCAAGTATCATGCATTTTATAAGCATAGTCATAAGCCTATAAAAATAGTTATTTTGTAGACTAAGTTTAACTAAATGGGGTATGGGGGAAGTGTATTTTGATAATAAAATTTTTAAATTTGACTCAGAAAGGTTATGAAACAGGAATGATTTTAGTCAAATTTCTACATGAAAATCAGAATTATTCGAAACTTTATCAAATATAGTCCTATCATTAGCTACTTTCAGACACGTAGATGTCAGGCACGAAGTGGCCTTGACAAGCAACAACACCTTTCTTCCTTTTTACTTGTCCCTTTTTATTACATGAAGCCACTTTCTAGAGAATTCTGGATTTGAAGGCCAGGAATAACCACCTCTCTTAAAACATACAGGTACACACAACAAGTAGTATGAGACATTTTTGAGCTATTATACTTATGAAGCAAATACAAAGCGTGATAACATGGCGAGACAAAAGGCATGAAGAGTGTAAACATCCAAGTACCTGACTATAGACAAGGACTATGTCGCTATTGGGGGCCCTCTAATAGTATAATTAGCACAGTCCCTCACTGACCACATAATGCCAGCATAATGAGCTTCTGTGCTGTTTGCTTGCTGGTAAAAAATATAGGATTGAATTACATTTATAGTTATCAGTCATTAGTCTTTTATGGAAACTTTCATACTGCAAAATTAGGGCCATCAGATCATATAAGTACAGACAATACAGAAAAATGAACATTACATGTCAAAATAAAAGTTCAAGTGAATTAATAAAACTTTCACAGAAATCTTTATGTTGTATATTAATGAGTATGTGCTGATTGTTTCCTTTTTTTCTTCTGATTTTCAGGTCACTATTACAGTTCAGGACAGAAATGACAGTCCCCCTCATTTTGTGAATGGACCATACAAGTTATCTTTATTTGAGGATATCCCTTTAGGTCATACAGTTATGACTATTTCAGCAACTGATCCAGATTTAGAAGGAGAGTTATCCTATGCCTTAGTGGCCACTCATGCAAGGTCACAGTTTGAGATTGATTCCACGTCTGGTATCCTGGTTCTTCTAGAACCTTTGGACAGGGAAATGCAAGAGTTTTATAGTTTAATGGTCCAGGCAAATGATGGAGTACAAACATCGAGAACAGAGATCATCATTACAGTAAGAAATGACGATTTGACACCATTATTCTGTGATATTTTATATGTGAAAAGTTTACATGATACCTATTTACAAAGTAATTTTAAAGCAAGTCACTCTTCACTCACTCTTACAAAAGGATCACTTCGTCATGTTCTTTAAAAATAACTGGAATTCCAATAAATTGTAATAAATGAAAAAATACAATACCTTACCTCCTCACACAGAATAGCTGTATCTTTTGTGCATCTGCCTTTGAGATTTGCATGCCACTAGCCTTGAGCTAACTTCTACCTGAAATTCACGTGTTTAAATATAAACTGCACTGGTGTATGATAACATCATTGTGTGAAAATAGTCCTCCATGCACACTAACTCCCTTTCAGCACTTGCACTCAAAATAATTTCATTTTTTCAGCGGTATTACCCTGAAGAAATGTGTTAATTTTTTCAAGTCTATGTTCAGTTTACTTAGATTTGCAATTGTAAACAAAACTTAGGTTCTCTTTCTGCCTTTGCTTTTCTTTCAAAAGCATTGTTTAACACAGTAAATTATCAAGTGATAGTGACTTCAAATTAGCCCTGTTAAAGTAACTGAGTTACGAACACATGACCAAGCCCGAATTAAGATAGTTTGAGGCCCCTTGAATAGGGTACAAGCAGATTTGAAGTTAATTACAATTAATACATATTAAGTTAATTATAGAATATGAGCTAATTATTTGAAGTAATTAGAATATGATGCATCTAACTTTTAAGGATGATATATTAAAATTAAACGATTATAATAATAATTATTTGCTTGCATAACATGGCAAGTAAGAATGAATTAGGTACATAAAAAACAACATAATTATTGTACAACGTTACAGAAGCATGCCAAAACATTACCCTAAAACCGTTTCTTTCCCTTGCTTTGGCAGAAGTAAATTCTCTGATTACATCTTCATAACCTTTTTATCGTGAGCAAAGAAAAGGCATTTAAGCGTTCATTTAACATTGAAGTACGCAAATCATTTTTTACTCTAGTCATTTTAGAAAAAGCTTTCTCTGCACTGCAATTCGTGGGTAGGCACAAGTATATTCTTAATACCACATCAACATAAAAAACAGATTCGAATTTGTTTTTTCTGGTTGCTTTGATGCATTGCTGAGAGGATGGTGTTTCACAATCAAATAATTTGGCAAACTTTACCATTTCATCGTGAAAAGAGCTGTCTAGATCTGAAAAGTATATGTCTCCAAATCTTTTAGCTGCAGGAAAAATTTCAGTCTTCATTTCTGTCGCTTTGTATGCAGCAAGCCGATTTTCCAAACACATTTGTAATTTGTCAACTATTGATATAAATATTTTTACGCGAAACTTTTGTGTTCCAGATAATTAAATTTTATCATCTGAAGTCTCATCATTTGCCAGCTTTCTTTTTGTCTTTTTAGAGATCTCACTCCTAAACTGTTCTACTATATTTGAAAGCTGATGAGCTTGAATTTCGATTCTATCTAATTCTTCATAGTGAATTTACACATTCCTTTACAGCAGTGGACAAATCAAGGCTCTTTTCTTGAAACTTAGAACTTGTAACATCAAATCTTCGAAGAATTTTATACCAAAACACTGTCATAAAAGCAATATCTAACTTTCTCATTTTATTCATCAAAGCAATAGTTTCATTTCTTACTGTTTGCCTTGCATCATTATCCTAAGATAAATCTTCAAGATTGGTATAAGTTCTGTAGTAGTTTTCATACAGAATTTTTGTTGAAACTGGTCTGGCTGACCAGCTTGTTTCACTGGGGTACTTAAGAGTAACTGGCCTCCCCTCATCGATTCTTAAACCATCACAAATGCTTTGCCAGTGCTTGGTTGAAGAAGTATAAAAATTGTACAGAGTTTGAAGAAAATTAAAAACAAATCGATGCACATTCGCAACTTATAGTTAAACTGATGGTGTGGATCATCAGTAGGGGTTCCTCACTGCTTGGGGCCCTTTCACAATTGTGCCATATTTAATGCAGCCCTGCACAGGGCCTATTTCTGTTATGGCTTCTGAAAATTTGTTGAATGTTGAAGATGTTAAACCATTCTTACAGTGTGTTGTGGGTTTCCCACATGCTTACTAGGCCTCCTTCTCCCATCCTTTTGAGGAATGTCTTTTCTCCTCAGTTTGTAAATGACCAGTAGTATAATGAATTTATCCAACTGTTCCACCAATTAGATTACTTTGCTTTGACCACTGCCTTACTAGTCTGGGTAAATCCTCAACCTTTCAATCTCTTTCTAAATGTGATTTCTCAGGTATGTTTCTTTTTTTATAATTCTTTATTCCATGAAACCAATTCTCAGAATCGCTTTGTCTCTCTTCCTTCACCTGATATTAGCATTCGTGCTGACTCCTTTTTTAACCAACTTTGCATTCTTAACCACATGCTTCATCCTTCTTGACTTTTTGTCCTAGCTTACAGCCATTATTCCTTTCCTTTACTAGATTCCCAGTCTTTGAACCCTCTTTTACCTGCTTGGGGAGTGAATCCCTTGTCTTCTCTTTTGCTCTCAGTACCTAGTTTTGCATCTTCATCTGTTTCTCATCTCTCTCATGCATTACCTCTATTCCCTTCATCTTATGACTGAGACACTTCATCATACCCCAAGGAGTTTTTTGGAGAAGTTTATTCTCTTTACTACCTTTGCCCACACTGCTTCTTCTACTGTATCCCTCCTTACTTGGTTGCTCTACTGTTGGGTCAGGATGAAGTACTCATTAATTTCCAGCTCCATAGTTCTTATCTATGTGATCTTCATTGAGCTCCCTTTCTTCACTAAGAAGCCTTCAGTGGTATTTTCGATTCACTGGATACCTGGGCTGAAGCAGCCTGGCATCAGTTCTCATTATCTTCCACAGTTTCTCAACCTCACCTTTCGACTCCTATATCTCGACTAGATCATTATTCTCCTATCCTTCCATTACAGGCCTTCCTCCACTTCCTGTTCTCCTGCTTCTCAACATCGAGTTCATTGCTCCTCTTGTTCGTGACTCTCCTGTTGGGTGGGCCTAGTGTGTGCCCATGTATCTCACTTCACCAACCTTTGGTCTCAGTTTTCTACCGACAGATGAGTTCTTTAGTTTATCACCCATGGTCTCTATTTCTTTTCTCTCTCTCACATCTTCTTATTTCCTTTTCTCCTCCCCAACCCTGTTTATATTCAATGTCTTGAAGATGCAGTTTTGGATTTTCTGGCCTAAAATGCAATCAAGAGGGTCCCCAAGAAAACCAGGGACCTATTCTCTCTCAACCAGTTTCTGATATTCATCCAGTCTGTGAAAGACCACGGTTGATGTGGCAAACACCTTTCTACATATTCTGATTCAGTTGTTCTTCAGACGTTTTCCACATTTCTTCCATCAGAATCGTGTCTTTCAATTTTGTGCTCCTTCCTTTGGCACAGTCTTGGCTCCTAGTGTCTTTACTTGAGTCATGAGAGTATTTGCTCACCAACTTTACAGATAGGAGTTGTGATTGCATTCTGCTTCTATTTGCCCCTTCTCAGGAGGTGTCCTCCTCTCACACCTCCCTTCTTTTGCAAGAGGCTGCTTAATCGGGGTAGCTTGTCAAGCTTTCCAAATCCTTCCTCACACCTACACAGTATTTAGTATATTTTGGCACTTTCTTCTACTCTTATCTCAGTGGGGCTCATACTTCCCCTCTTTGCCTGTGTGATATGGAACGTATAGCCACCAGGGTTTTTTCTTCTCATTTTCAACTTGCATGAGAGGTTCTTTTTCTTTTCTCTGATTTTCCTGGAACCATTAATTTTTATGGGTGTGCACACATGCAACTTCCCCAGTGGAATCTTTCTCGGGATCCATTGACCTAGATTGTGAAATTCCCCTTTTCTCTTCACGAGGATTTATCTTGGTGCTTAGATGAGGCCATGATTGGTATTTCCTTACTACCACCAACACCCTCACCCTCTGACCAGATTACTATCTCTTCACACTTCTCAAACTTCTCACTGTTCATCAGGCATGCTTTCTTTTCCTTCTTCTCGTGGTTGGGTTGGTAATGACATTTTCACAGTCATTTCTTATATCAACTGTCAAGGGGGCACCCAGGTTTATTGTTGAGTGTGCTCTTGGTTGGCCACAGCGCTCATAAATACCTTTGCCACTCCTCTCAGCTTCAAGCTTCCACTCTTTTGTCCTCAGTTTCTCCTCCTTTGGCTCTGGTTCTCAATGCTCTTATCCAAGACTGGTCTCACAATTTTCTGTATACCTATCATCGTATTTGACTTCTCCCTTGGTTCTTTGCCTTGATACATGACATTCCTTTCTGAGTCATCCTGGTGGCATCTTTATGGCCAGCTCAGCTTTCCTTTACTTGTTTGATTGGTATCTGGACCTCTCTTTTTCTACCCAGTATCCCCTCTCTATTGCTACTACTCTACACATCACTTCTTCATCCAGGGGTATCATTCTTTCATCTTCACACGTGGGACTGTCTGTTTCATGACCATTAGGGATGGTCTTTCTGTTGCAGCCTTCTTCTTATCCCTTTCCTGTCATTTTTCCATTGTCTATCAATGAAAGTGGCAAATTTCTGGCATTGATCTATCCATTTCTCCCTTTTTCTTGGCTGCCCCACTGTGACACACCTATCCACTTTATTAACTTGGTTGTTTGACCATGATTTGTTGGTCTCCACCATCGATTGTTATCAGATGGCCTTATCCAAAACCTTTTGCATTACCAGAGAGTATTTTCTTCCTCTGTTCCCTCCACTGACACATCACCTGATTTTCATGTCTAACTTAGACCTTAATGTGGAGTTGTTCTCACACATGCCCCATTTAAGATGTTGGTTTCTTACTCTTTATACAACCTTTCTCATAACACTTCCTTCCTTCTCGTTTTTCCCTCGGTCACTGTCATTCTGATATCTATGCTTTTTGCACTCTATTCCATTGCACTTATTTACTCCTCTACCTGGACTGCTCCTTTCTTTTTAAGAGTCCAGCTACTTAA